CTGATTTGCTAATCAGTAGATTGCAACAGAAAGGTAAAAATTCAGTTTGTGGGAAGATTCTTAATTTATCTCCAAATATACTGAGGAATATAACAGTGAATTACGATTTACCTGATGTTGCTTCTGTTTCTTGATATTTGTACACAGAAAAGTTTTTTTTTCCTCAGAGTTTCCTTAGCATACCATGAAGCCTCTGAACAAAGTAAACAAAAATGTAATATATTATATATAATAAATAATGAAATTTTAATAGCAATAGCAATAGCAGTTAGACTTATATACTGCTTCATAGGGCTTTCAGCCCTCTCTAAGCAGTTTACAGAGTCAGCATATCGCCCCCACAATCTGGGTCCTCATTTTACCCACCATTTTACCCAGGATGGAAGGCTGAGTCAACCTTGAGCCGGTGAGATTAGAACCACTGAACTGCAGATAATAGTCAGCTGAAGTGGCCTGCAGTACTGCACCCTAACCACTGCGCCACCTCGACTCTCTAATAGTTAAAATTTATATTATATTGGGTGTGTTTGTGTGTGTCTAAATGTATGCCATTTTGAAAATTTCAAAGGTTTATAAACTGGAATTTGGGAAACCTACCCAATAGTATAAATAAAGTTCATACTCTGTTCATTTTGTATTAGAACCTCCAACAGTTGGAGCACGTGGTCCACCATACAACTCTCCATTTCAAGAAAGAGTAGCAAAAGAACAAATTGCCTTCCCATGTCCCGTCAAAGGTACAGAGCCTCATAAATTGCTAAGTGGAGACTTTCCATTTTGGAGAATGTTGACTTTTGTAACCCGATGATTTTATTATTTCTTGCTTAATTACATTTATTTGGTACCCAACTTTAATAGACTATTGATGGTGTACAAAGGAGGGAAACACAAAAACAATTGAAAACAACTGACCCATACAGACAGCCCAGATTAAATCACTCAGAATAAAATAATCTAAGTGGGCCCACTTCAAAATCTTGAAATCAGGTTTTCTGGAACCCCAGCAGAGAGGGCATCCTTATCTCCAGGCATATGTTGTTCCAGATGGTGGGGCCATAATAGAGGAGGAATGCTTCCTAGATCCTACAAGATGACAATGTGACCTGGAGCGCACTCATGCTGTTGGAACATACTAAGCAGAACAGAAATAGTTGGAGATAAATGGTTTCTCTGAGATCCAAGTCCTATGCCATACAGGGTTTGATAGGTAATAGCCAGCACTTTGAATTAAATAATCAGCACTTCACTAATTTCTTGGGATGGGTGGATTAGGCCTTCCATCTTTTACAATAATCACTTGGCTATGATGATTGTGTTATTATTATTTTTAAAATAATAAATCATTATCCTGCAGGCAGAAGCCAAACTTTGGATCACGCCACCAAAGTTTGATTATTTTCCCAATATTTTAAAGCTGATTTGCTGTGTCAATAGTCAGTTTGCTATATTCTGCTGCATCTGATAATAATGTGTGCCACTTGTTGAAATAACAAATATAATGGAGAATGTAGAGAGGCAATTTGTAGAAAATTCTATCTGCTATTTCAGGCATGGAAACAATGGCGAGGTATAGGAATTTTGAGGAGTTTTTAGCAGTTAGCAATAGCAGTTAGACTTATATACCACTTCATAGGGCTTTCAGCCCTCTCTAAGCGGTTTACAGAGTCAGCATATTGCCCCCAACA